GGGGGGTGGCTGGACGATTGGTTCTCGGGGTAGCCGCGGCAGCTGGGTCAAGAAGGGGGAACGGACAGCTGGCATGTCACGTCGCGGTGATCTCCATGTGAAAAGTGACATGTGAAAATCGAAAGAAGGGGCCAATGGGGGGGGTATTCAGTCATGCGCAATCAGTCCGTCATGGGCGGCCAGCATTCCAGGGGGGCAGGGGGCAGCCTTCGAAAGAGGTAAACAATCATTTTGCAGGTCGGACGGGAGTTGTGTTGGAGAAGAGATGTGGAGGATTCTAACCTTGTTCAGCCGGAAATAACAAACACGTTAAATAGGGTTTAAGAGTTCGGGTGGGCAGTTAGCCAATATTTGCTCCATCGATTCTTGCCTTTCTCGGTGACGTTACTCTTAATAAGAGTTCTCGCTTCATGATCTACTGTTTTTCATTGCAGGGAGTTCCGCGCCTCAGTCATTGAGATGGTCCTCAACACCGACATGTCCCTTCACTTCTCCCAAGTGAAGACTATGAAGAACCTTATAGCCATACCCGAAATGTAAGACCACCACCTACACCTAATGCACTTTATGTATGCGTGGACTAAAGCAATCCAAGAAAACTTACCACGTGTTCTTGGTTTTTTTCCCTTTTTTTCAGCATCGACAAGTTGAAGGCCCTTTCCTTACTGGTTCACTCTGCCGACATTGCTCATCCTTGCAAGGAGTGGAAGCTGCACAAACACTGGTCAGAAATTCTGAGTGAAGAGTTCTTCCGACAAGTAGGTCAACCGCCCACGTCGCCTCCGATGCCTTTTTTCTTGCATTATGCGTACAACCACCTATGTCTCTCCAACTTTTAGGGTGATCGCGAAAAAGAGCTCGGGATGCCAATTTCCCCGTTATGTGATCGTACAACCGTCGTTCTGCCCCAGTCGCAGATAGGTAAGCTTTATACCCGCGCCAAGTTACAGTTATTTGTTCGGCAAAAATTCCCATTTCGTTTACGATTGAAAAGTCGTGTTGGC